CTATATTATAAGTATAATGCCACATATATGGGATACCAGTAAAGAGCAGGATGTTATTAACAGAGTCTGAATAAAAAACACCTGTTGTAATTCTGCAGTCAAGACAGTGGAAACTAAATAGATAATTTTGCCACGTTTTTGACTTCCTGTATGGTAAACTCATACTGCATTTATGTTTCCAGGATGCACATTCTGTGCAGGAGCCCTCTTTGGTGTGGCGCCTGTCATCCATTCATTTTTGACTACTGAAGCTTTATTTTTATTGTTATACTACATTTTGCTGCTTTTCTATTCATTATATGTTGATCCAGTTGTTATAACATTAGTGTGCCTTGTCTCCTGGCACCTAGGCAAGAAGTTCCCAGAGTATATGAATAGGAGCTGGAGATGGTTGGATGATATTTTGCATAGGACTTTACCCCATATCTACATGATGAATAATTGAGTTTTCAACTGATCCTTAACAACTTAAACTTTTTTTTTTTTTTTTTGAGACGGAGTCTCGATCTGCCGCGCCAGGCGGAGTGCAGTGGCGGGATTCCTCAGCGTCACTGTAAGCTCCCGCCTCACCAAGGGTTTAGCCCAATTCCTCCTAGCTCAGCCATCCACATGAGTAGCTGGACTACAGCGCACCCCCCACTCGCCGCCGGTCTAGTTTTGTTGTATTTTTTAGTAGAGACCGGGGTTTCACCAGTTAGCGCCAGGATGGTCTCGATCTCCCTGACCTTGTGATCTCCGCGTCTCAGCCTTCGCCAACATGCTGGGATTACAAGTTGAGCCACCCGCGCCGCCAGCTCAACTTTAAACTTTTACAAATGCACTTTCCTTACCGTCAGTTGGAACGACTCATGTTCCAATGATTGTCTTCTGAAAACACTGCGCTTAAAGGTGAGAATTAAGAGTTAAAAGCCACAAGTCTGGGCTAATATCCAGAACCTAAGAGAACTAGCGAATCAAATTTACAAGAAAAAAACAAATAATCCCCATACAAAAATGGGCAAAGGATACGAACAGACACTTCTCAAAAGTAGAGACATTCATGACAGCCCAACAGACCACATGAAAAAATTGCTATCAATCACTCGCCATAAGAGAAAATGCACATCAAACCACCAATGAGATACCATCTCACATCAGTTAGAATTGGTAACTCATTAAAAATCCAGGAACACGAGTGCTGGAGAGGATTGTGGAGAAATAGGAACCACTTTTACACTTTGTGGACTGGTGACCAGTTCAACCATTTGTGGAAAACAGTGTTGGCAATTCCCCAAGGATCTAGAATAGAAAATACCATGTTGACCCAGCCAATCCCATTACGGATAATAAGTCATACCAAAAGGATTATAAGTCATGCCTGCCTATAAAAACACATTGCACATGTTATTGTTTTTGACGGCATATTCACAATAGCAGAGACTTGGAATCCACCCAAATGTCCATCAGTGACAAACCTGGATTAAGAAAATGTGGCACATACACCGATGGAATACTATGCAGCCATAAAAAAGGATGAGTGTCGTGTCCTTGTAGGGGCATGGATGCAGCTGGAAACCATCATTCTCAGCAAATTATCGGCTATAAAGAGAAAACCAAATACCACATGTTCTTCACTCATAGGTGGGAATTGAACAATGACATCACTTGAACACAGGAAGGAACATCACACACCAGGTCCTATTGTGGGCGGGAGGGAGGGAGATAGCTTTAGAGGAGATACACCTAATTTAATGACAGAGATAATGGGTGCAGTACACCAACATGGCACACGCATACATATGTAACAAACCTGCACGTTGTGCACATGTACCCTAGAACTTAAAGTATAATAAAATAAAATAAAATTAATTTAATTTATTTAATTTAATTTAAAAAACCAACCTGTCTTGCCA